GGGTGACCCGCAGGTCTCGCACACCACCATGGCCCGCTACCGCCGGCGCTCCCGCAGGAGCCGCAGCCGCAGCCGGAGCCGCCGCCGCTCCCGCCGCCGGGGCGCGCGGAGGAGGCGGCGGGCTGGATCCCGCCGCTCCAGATATCGCCGGCGCCGCCGGGGCGGCAGGAGGCGCAGACGCCGCTGAGCGGGCAGCGGGCACGGCGGACCCGGCCCCGCACCGACACGCGGCGGGCCTGACAATAAATTAGCACGGCAAAGCTCACATGGGTGCGTGTGCGTGTCTTTGCTTCGCCCCGCCATGGCCCTTCACGCCTCAGGGCTCCCCCGTGGGTCGCGCTGCTCGGAACTCGCGCCCGCATTCCGCGTGTTTCATCGGCTGCTGCTCCCGTGTCTCCATCTCCGCTGTTCCACAACAGCGCTCCCAAACTCTGCCCGTCCCCGTTTTTCTTTGCCCTGTTCATGTCCATCCCAAAGCTGAATCAAGAAGGAATGAGAATGGCAGACCTTTTCAGAGGCCCCCTACCTGATATTGGTGATTTATAGGAATATATTTACATCAGTTCGTCAAATTTATTTACATCGAGTGGTGAATTTCTAACATAAACTATTCCTTATTTAAACAAATTCATCAAATGATGAATTTCTTACATAAATGGATGCCCCTTATTTACATAAATTCACTTTCACAGCTGGCAAAGGTTCAGTCTGTCACCAGCAATTTTCTGCCGTGGACATGGCTCTGGGGCTCCCCAACACATGGCTGTGCCTCCCAGCACGTGGGCCGATGAGGCAGCCTCTTGGTGGGTGGAGGACAATTCTGCAGGCTGGGAACCCTCTTCTGTGGGGGTTCTGGGACACACCGGGAAGCAGTTCCTGCCCCATCCGGGAGTGGAGGGGCTGTGGCTGCTGCCCTGGGCAGAGGGACCTGCCCCCTCTGCCTGCTGCTCCTGCTCTGCTGAGTTGGGCACAGCTCGTGGGCAGCCGGGACTGCCAGGAGGGGTGGTTGCCGATGTATTGGCTTCCTTCACCTTAGAGCCTGTGGAGGTGCTGGTGGGAGTCCCCTCCTAGGAACTGCTGGACTTGGGGCTGCTGAAGTTCCTGGTGCTGCTGGACCTGGATCTGGAGCTGGCCACTGGGCCATTGTTCTCATCCCTGGCAGCAGCAGAGCCCAGCCTCTGTGCCTCCTCGCTGCACTGGCCCACGATGACACTGCAGATGCTGTGGATCAGTGGTGCCGCCTGCTCGTTGAGCAGAGGCTCCATGATCTCCACCAAGACTTCTGCATTTGGTTCGTAGAGGCAGAGGCTGTACAGGATGATGCTCTGTGTGTCCTCCACAAGCCACCACTAGTCCCAATATATTCCCTCCAGCCTCTGGCGCAGGCAGAGCCACACACTCGGTCTCCAGGAGATGCTGTTGTTGACGGAACAGTCCTGCCCACACCTCGGGCAGGATGGCACCCGTGGGCTGTGGCCCTGCAGCCCCCTGCCCGCCTGCGGACAGTGTTCCGGGCGGAGGAGGTGGAGTGGGCACCACAGGGCAATGGGGGCTGGTTCCGGGCAGGTGGGAGGGAGCTCTGCCTGCCCAAGTTTCGGGCGGACACCGCGGGGCGGGCACTTCAGGCCGGTTTTGCAGGGGAGCCGGGGGGGAGCCTTTTGCGTCGCCAGAGCTTTCTGAGTCACCGTCACCAGTGAGGTCACAGTGGCTGCACCTGATGCATCACAAAGGGGATCCCCGGCTCCCCTATAAAAGCGGGTGACCCGCAGGTCTCGCACACCACCATGGCCCGCTACCGCCGGCGCTCCCGCAGGAGCCGCAGCCGCAGCCGGAGCCGCCGCCGCTCCCGCC